CGGACGCTTCACACCTGACCCAGTTTATAGTAAGAATAGATTTGAAAAAATATGTCTAACAGAAATGGATGATCACTAAAGTTGCGTGTTAACTTCCGGTTCCATGGTTCCATGTAAACGGCGATCAATGCAAGTACCTCTATGTGCAGTGCATGTGCAGTGGGAGCGGTTCAAACTGAAGTGACGTCACACTTACAAACTGGATACTTTTTATGTTGTTGATAGTCTTTAGTTAGCATATGACAGTTGGTTCTGATTCCACTAATTTCACATGACTCTCATAAAACTTGCCTAAAATAGGTCTGAAAGTGTTGGTGATAGTGAACCTGAAGATGGCTAGCAGTGCACAGGTGTACTTCATGCATAGCACAATTAGCGTTTGGTGCCATTTTTCAACCAACAGGTGGTCATACGCAATGCCACATATTCCTAAAAGCAAAGCGCATCAAAGTGGATTGACTGCCGAGATAATTCTGCATATAATTTGTTAACATTGATGTTCTCGTATTAATAAAAAGTTTTTCCCCTCCAGATGAAGGACAGGGTGTTGAAATCTGGATCGTAGACACCGGCATCCGTCCCACCCACTCTGACTTTGGAAACAGGGCCTCTATAGTGTTTGATGCCTACGGTGGAAATGTAAGTGTCATTTCTTCTTAAACGAACCTAATTCTTTGCTGCTAAGAGTTGAGTAATTCTTTTGACTACTGAATTGCATGATTTTTTAGAGCGATAAATGACGAGCCACTACCTTGAATATTGAAATTATTCGGTAACAACATCAGTCCCATATTTTTGAACCTTGCAGTTTACATTGTAACTGACCAGTGATATAGTTTCATGCACTGAAGTGTTAAAATGTCAAAATTAAAGGAAATCACTGTGTTGTTCTCACATAGGGTACAGACTGCAACGGTCACGGCACCCACTGTGCTGGTATTGCAGCAGGTTCTTACTTTGGAGTGGCAAAAAAAGCAACTATCAGAAGTGTGAAAGTTCTGGGTAGAACTCCTTGTGGTTCATCAGGTCCTTATTCAAAAATAGTGAATGGTGGGTTTTGCCATTTTGTAGTTTTTAAATGACTTCGGAGTACAGCTGTTGGATGTTTAAGATTTAGTCTTAAAAGCAAAAATGGTTTGCTGACCTTAGTTAAACTGCCTTCCACACAACTGCATACATTTTGTTCATCCATGCCTTTTCAATAGCTTCTTGTATACTTGCTGTGTTCTAATAGTTGCACTTTCTTTCTTGTTTTCTTGCATTCAGGGTTGGATCATGTCATTGAGGCTGCCAGGCATCCGGCTGTCGTGTCAAGTTCCATTGCTCGGGGGAAAAACACGTTTTACGATCAAGCAGTGAAAAATATAGTTTCTGCAGGTATTCCAGTGGTGGTTGCTGCTGGGAACTTGAATGCTGACGCTTGTAATACATCTCCAGCTTGGCTTAGTCAGGTAAACACCGATGATCCTTTACAACTCAAGTTTATCATGAAAGCTGGGCTTGATGGGCTCTGTAATCTATCACGCCAACCCTATTGCAAGAGTCCCTGAACCACTCAATACCTTCCAACTGGAAGAGACAAGTATCACTTATCAGTAACCCAAAACGTGAAATCAATTTAGAGTTTTTAATGGAAAGTCGTAGAAATTTCATCAACCAATGGATAGATCAAGCCTTCAAGACAATGAGGTACTGACTTTTTGGGAAGGTATGTGTCCCTCTTGTAGCTGCTCCAGAGCGTCTGCCTCCCAAGCACTACTCTCCATCGTGGGATGGATCTTACTGTTAACCTCTTAAAGCGTGGCAGTCCTTTTCTTACTCACCCACTGACAAATTAAAATTTGTCAACGAGCTAATATTGCTAATCAAGCATGGTCAGAGTAAAGCAAGTTTAGAGTATAAAAGCAAACAAGTCAAACTGACCATTTTCGAAGCAGGAAACTGGTTTACTCCAATCATGTATTCAGAAACAATCAATGTTTAGCGTTAGGAAGATGCACCTGGAAGAAGGCTTCATGTTTATAGTTCATTGTAACATTCGGCATAAGATAGTCTTACATTAATGCTTGATGTTGTTCATCCTTGTTACAGGTGATCACTGTAGGTGCTACTAATAGCCGTGATGAGAGATGGTTCGTTTCAAACTATGGGAAGTGCGTCGACATTTTTGCTCCTGGTAGGGCTATCGTAAGCGCAGGTTGGAAAACTGACACATCAATTACAACGATGTCTGGGACCTCCACAGCCTGTGCACACGTTGCAGGTGGGTACCAATTCAAAATAACAATCCTCTCTGGCTCTTTATCTTCATTCAAGTCCTAACAAAATCTGAGTCATTAAGCTCTTTTTTCTGCTTCGCCATCCCTTTTCCTTTTGTTTAATAATAAGGGATTAAAAATCTCTCAATTTTAATTGGAAGTGTGATCTTTTAAATTCCCCTCTAGAAACTCCCGTTTAAAGAAAATTTCCCATGGAACAAAACGTAAAAGGCTTCAATAAAACGATTTGACAGCGGAAATTCATCTATATTTATTCTCCTTTACCAGTGGTAAATGTACAATTCCCAGAAATACACTGGCCAACGTTTGACTTGGAGGCAAATTTCTTTTCTGGCTGGCATAAATGAACTATACAACTATACCACGATGAGCAGTGTGATAGTATACTTACGTGAGAGAAACGTGCAAATGACCGAGTTAGCGGGTGAACGAAGCAAAATGTTGTAAGCCATGAGAATATTATCTCAGAAGCAGAAACGGAGAAAACACAGCCAGAGGGACTTGTTTCTCAATATATGCCTATACTGGAGAAGACGAAAGTGCATGAAATAGTGGGTTGACCGAGCAGCATTGTAATGCCTGTAAATGTAATACCTTAATTAACACTATACGCGTAATTCCGCATTTGAGTATAAAATTGCACCTCATCTCAGTAACTAAAATAAACAGTAAAATGCTTATTATTTAAAATTAATTTATGAAAAGATTTACCCTTGCCATGCCTGATTAAGAATTTTTTTGCTTTGTTTTTAGTTCATACACTGTTCTTGGGGGTAATCATGATGCATGGCATTTCATTTAAACCAAAAAAGCTGGGGCAGATCCCGCGCCCTCAACATATTGCTGATATCGCCATAGTGCGGTTTTTCAGGAATCCTGTCCGAGGATTAAGAGTGATTATATGATAAGGTATTAAGGTATTATTATTTAAATTCATCCCGGCTTTGCGGCCGATGTTTGGACGGGTTAGGAGTACTCTCAACTTGAGACTTTCCGTCTCAGGTTCAAATCCTCTCTAGTGTTTTGCAACTCTTTTTTTAACTTGTAAATAATAAGTGAGAAAGGAGCATCCTCACCATATACAAGTTTAGTTTATGAGCTCGAGAACGATGCATTAGGTATGCATGTAACAGACCACTCTCAAGACAGGAAAGCAAGACTGCTTGCGGAAAAAATCGCAGCCTGCTCGCATGTAGCCTTTAACTTACAACAAAACATTTCATTTGATTAACTTCAAACTTTACCCTTCTAATGATAAGGATTGTCTTTATATGCATGCCAGGTTTAAAAAACAAATCAAGAGGAGGGGGAGGGGTGGATTCCCACCTGTCTGTCAGATGAGCCCAAATAACCCGGCTCTTTGAACGTTAACGGCTTCGGTTAAGCACACATTTGATATCAGTATGGTTTCCAGAGATTTCCTACTACTGTAATACGGCATTTTAGACAGGTTAATGCGGGCTTTTTTTGTTGTATAAATCTGTAGCATTGCAAACAGAAACCAGACCAGTCTGCAACGGATGGACCCTGGACTTTTCCCTTACAAAAGGCCATGCTTGGCTACCGAGGAAAAACACACACAACCCCCCCCCCCGCCAAAAAAAAACAGACACAAACATAAATCCAAAACAAAACGAAGAAAAATATTTATCCAAAGTAAATACAGAATGTGATCGAAAAGGTAGAGGAAAGAACGAAACAAACAGCTGAAAAACATTCATGGTCATTTCGGGGCTTGAAGTAGGGTTAGCCTGCTTGTAATTCAATCGTGTCCAACAGCGTATCATCATGATTTATTGTGATCCCAATCCCTATATTAAAGATTGACAGTGGTCCCTCTCCAATACTGTAACTGTGGCATTTGGATAGACACGATGTTTCACCAGGGCCCCAGTTTTGTCTCAGCATGTTCCATTATCTCCTAAGTCTTTTCCTGCTACTTTCCCACTTAATTTGACACTTAATTGAGGTTTGGTTTTGCTATGATTATTAACATGAAAAAGCATTTGCTATTGTTAATTTTCGCAGGAATTGTCGCTCTCTACTTGGCCCAGAATCGGACTCTGTCACCTGCCGAGATTAAATCGAAACTCAAGACATCTGCAACTACGCACCTATTGTCAAATGTGGGACAAGGCAGCCCCAATCGTCTTGCATACATTGATCCTTAGTAACACACCATCGTGGTGTTGATATGTTGATGAAACCAACCACGGAGACCACGGACTTCATTCGAAATGTATTTCATTTTGACCTTATTAGACATATGTTAATTGATCATTGCCGGTGTTGGTTCATAAATTGTTTCAGTCTATTTGGCTTGTTAGATCTACATGGTAACTATGTTTTATTCCCAAGTATAGACGAAGATATATCAGATTTCAGTAGAATAACAATAATTGTCAAAGGAGGCATTGAACAGAAAAAATAAGCACTGTTTGGTACGCATCTGGACCCAGTGGAACAACTGTGGCACTGCATTAGCTCAGCAACATGCTACTGCATATCTTTATTTGGTAATGCTAAGTCACACATTCAAATCTTTCATCGAAAACATGGAAAATACTAATGATTTAACTCTTGGAATGTGACATATATAGAAGAGAGATGGTCGGAAGTTATCTTAAAGCGAGCATAACTAACAAAATTATTCGGCTATGTTTATGACAACCTTTAAATATGTCATATACAACTGGTTGCAAGAAGACAAACAGATGTTCGCAAAGATGCCTCGGTGTTAAGAATTAATTGTCGAAAATAAAATTTATTGAAACTAAATGCAATCCATGCATTTGTTTGTCTCGGTCAATATTTACCTGAGCCTTTAATGTGTAGCTGGATTAATTTTTCTTTGACACAATTTTTCAGCATCTTTCTACTCTTCTTCAATGTATAAAACTGTTTTACACTCCTATTTAGGAAAACGCATTGAAAATGGATGCTTTTAAGCAATTAGAATTATTCATGCTTTCGTGGACAACTGAGGGCGCTGTTGCTGTGAAGTCATCTAGGGAAGACGTGGTTCAGTGAATAGGTATTTCTGTTCAAAGTGGGAACCAAGAATTAACTAACTGAAAATATTTCTGAGATAGGGATTGATTCTTTCTTAGTGCTATACGTATAAAAAAAATAATCAGCAAAGAAGAAAAAAGCTCAGTCCAGGAAAATCAACAAATATGTTGGACTTTTGTTGTGTACAAACCAATGTAACGTTGAGGCTTCTTCCTGAGATGAGATCACAGTTTGGCTTATGAATATTGGAATACTCATTAGCATTAAACCAAAAAAGCGTAAACAAACCGTTCGAAAAAAGTGAAACAAAAGTTTAAAAATCAGGGTAACTGAGTCAAAAAGATGCATTTTGAAGGTTTGTATTAAAAAAAATGATTTTATCTACCTAAAGGGTAGATTGATATCGTTGATTTTGTCACCAGAAATTTAAAACTAATACCTTTGAGTAGGGGAGCGTGCAAAAGGGGCGGGCCATTAAAGGTTGATTGTAGGAGACAGTTCCCTGAAAGTTCGAATGCATACAAATAATATGGGGGGGGGTTGAGAATTTTGTGCAAATCAATAAAAGTATTTGTTCAATTCCTTTCATTGAAATTGAAAGCCAGAACACCAGTTAAGACTAGAAGCAGCTGGTGCTAAAATTGTCCATCTTCACAATACGTCCACTGGCTCTTCTAATGTTTGTGTATAAAATTTGCAGCTCTCTTTATTTACTATAAAATGTTGAGGACAAAATCGAAGAAATTACATCATCGAAATCCCCGGGTGCAGACAAATTTCTTGAAAGTTGGTCTTTCATTTGGGTTTCCGGTACGGATTTCCCGCTTGCCTGTCGGGTTTATAAATTATTTTTATTTCGATTAGGACATTGATTACAGTGGCGGTGTATGTGTTATGTATGCTTATTAAAAATCCCGACTCCAACGGGAAGGAATAATAGTGCACATGCGTAAAATCCAAGTTGTAGCAAAGCCAACTCGACTGACGCCTTGAAACGCTGTGATGAACGCTTGGAAGTGTCGGACGCTGGAGAGACTTTCGGGCCAACTAACAGCTGATTATTTTCGAGAAATGGACAAATGCAAATGAGTTGCTGAGGATACAAATCAGTATTTCATGGCTGAACCATGGCTAGCTCACAAACTGACTGAGGGTGTTAAATTAAGATAAGGGATCATCAGAAGTGCAAGCGACTCGGACTCAGAGGACATCTCGCATATCGCATATGGCTTAACTCAGCCATATTTATTCGATCTGAAAAATAGCAAAGTTGTAAACATGTCCAGTCATTGTGACGTTTACACCGAACAAGCAAATTACAAACAGGATTTAACACGATAAAGCAGCAGATAAAGTGACAAAAGTCATGTACGTGCAATAATATGTATACATAAGCTATTCTCAGTATGGCTTGTCACACACGTATAAGGTCGATATATCGATAATATCCGATATATCGATTTTGCCTTAATATCGATATGAACGATATCACTTTAAATTTGAAATCGATTTACCAAAAGCGCCGACATAATAAGAAAAACAAAGCTATAGTAGTTGTTGTTGCTATCGACAATATCTTGACTTGAAATAAACGTTTCGGTTGTTCGTGGACATGAATGGCATTCAGCAATTCTCTTTTGCTTTGTTGTTTTCTCTCCACAAAAGCTTGTAAAAAGTAAACAGCTATCTGGTTTACAATGATTTTTGCATCGTTACGTACATGTACATGCAAAAACTTGCGTGTATTGAGGTTGCAGGCTAATAAATAGGTCCAATATTACCTCTGAGGACCGAATCACGATTTGTGTGCTGCCAAATTCTCTGCTATTAGAGCGTTTCGTGGCATGTGGACTGGGTGGTTTGTTGAAAAAGTGGATGAAAACCAGGGGCAGGACTGCCATCTGGTATTTCTGAAAGTATCGGACCAAACGGGGTCCTCTATTGCTCTATTTTGCATTGGAGTGTAGGTATCAATTTTCAAAATGGCGATAGGCCCTTATGAGTGTCTCGAGGAGTGACTTTCTCTGTACAAAAATATCTTCAAAAGGTTAAGTCACTAAAAATTGAAAGGAAAATGAAAGATGAGGAGGTGAGCGTTATTTGATATGTGTCATGAATGCCTGTGAAACTTGCATTTTTCTTGATTTTTTGAAGTGTTGATATTTATCACTGTTGTCTATGGCAGCTTTTTTACTGGTCTGTACCCTAAAGCATGCTGTACATTTAGCAGGGTACCTTCCAAACAAGAAAAAATGTGTACAGAAAGAAGCTGTAAAATACCCTTGTGTCTGGATACCATACCTCATTGGTTATTGCACACACGGCCCAGCCGAAGCTTTAACAGCCCGAAGCCATGAAGCTCCAAGACTGTTTTACATGTGGCTGTGACTTCAACATTGGTGGATTTTGCCTGGAACTTCTGTGTGTACTTTTTGCGTACATGACATCAGGCAAAATCGTCGAGTGGTTAAGAAGTAGCTGTTGCCCAAACTTGTACGAATGATGCATCAGATTCCAACACCCTCTCTGCATGCAATAGTTTGGAAGATGTACATTCATGTAGTATTGTGGAGTAGCAATTCATTTTATGGGGATTGATTGATGGAGGAACTTCTTGTCCCGGGAAGCCGGNCCGCTCAGACCGCGGACTGGCTGAAGTATGCGTGCCTTTGCATTTGAATATACTGTTTTGACCACAGGTTTTTGGTGTTGTCAGGTGCTCGTTTGTTTGGGGAAGAGCAAAAGAATTCCAGGCGACTTAATTCTACCCTGTCTAATTTAGAGTTGCTATTCTTGGGAAAAAGACTTCTTCCAGAGTTTTGCCGTTTCAAATAACCTTTTCACTCAATACAAGCTCGAAAATTGCATTAGAATGTACAAGTTATATAATCACGAGGAGACCAAAACACTTGTACAGTCTACCTTCAACAATTTTCATCATTGGCTCGATATGATATAAATAAGCAAATACCGACAGAAACCCAAAGAAGCCTACGCATGTAGGCTAGTGCCTAGTGCCAATGCATCGCAGTCTGTGTTTTAACGCCCTTCCTTTAAAATTTATCGTTGTATACTTTAAACTTTTCGTTGAAGTTTATCAAAAGTTACCGCCCCTACCTTGACCAAATGCTTCACCTAGCTCCGTGTTTCTGTGCATCTAAATTGTTCAAGAATAAACAGCAATGAAGATTAAAACATGGTGTTTTACAGACGTTAGGAAACAACGTTTGTTGACTCTTGAAAAATACGATATTACCCGTTTCATCTCATCTCATCTAATCTCACCTGACCTCATCTCACCTCACCTCATCTCATCTTATCACTCTTTTCAAAGTCTGCATATCAGGCATTCGATTTGTATTATTCATTAAGTCGTCTTCTGTTGTCGGTACTGTGCATACACCATGTGGTGAGGAGCAGAGAGGTACGCATTCCACGTGTTTAATATAACATTGAAGTAAAGAAAACACCATCTGCTGTATTTTTCTGTAATTATTTATGAAAACAGAGGAGAGAGTAAAATGACTCAAAGCGTAGTCTAAGCATAGAAATCACTAACTAACTGTGAAAGTATGGTGTCAGCCTTTGCACAAAATAATATTCCCACGAAGGCCATTGTAAGCAAAACTTTCATTATCATTCCAGAGAGTGTCCACCATCTTTGTGTGCAAATTTGCTCAGCAATAGGTTCTTCCAGAAATTAATGATGCCGGCTGGCCCACCAAAAGAGGCTTTAGTAGTCGCGCGGCGCAAGCTGCACAATGTGGATAAAACATTACAAAAAGGGCCGGGCGCTCGGCATTTACAAAATGAGGTGGCAACTAAATGGAGACGAACCCAAATAATTATACTAAACAAGCATATCTTAGTAAAAGTTTTGCTAGTAATTTTATTAAATAACAGGTTGACGGCTAAAGTAAAACAGTGAAACAAGGAAAATGTACCTTCCCGTTCATGAAAATAAAAGGGGCATGCCAATCTGGTACTGCATTTGGAGCTTTGAATGGGGATGGAGAGATTAAGAACAAAATGTGAGTCTCCAATTTTTGTCAACAATGTCGAAGATTTTACGTTTTCAAGCTTGAGACACGTTTCATTCTGCATTCACGTCCCTTGATAGTTCTCTTAGTCATTGTGCAAATTGTAAAAATTTTCTTGCATTTCAGAAATTTGCCAGTCACTTTTGCTGTTATCAGGAGTGTCAGCCCCTTCTCTAGGGCTTTGAGGAAAAGTTGATTCAGTACGGTGAATAATTATGCATAAGTTCAACCCTAATGATGTCTCTGTTTTGTCATGACTTTTCTGTTGCTAAATTATAATTGTTACATATTGGAGTTTTCCTTCTAATATCTGTTCCATTGCAGCTTTTGGCTAGTAGAACATCAAAGCTCTTAATATACCAAGGTCTGTCTTCTCCAACCAAGTAGTACGAGAGGGAGAGTTCTGGATCAGCTTTACCCTCCTATACCTATCCCACCCCCCTCAACCGGGACTTCCCCCTACCCTCCAAACCTCTCCCCAATTCCCTGGGGCTCTTCTCAACCTCCAGGATTTCCCCCAACCCCGGGGAAAAAATTGCCAGACGACAAGTTCGCACAAAACGGCCCAGATTTCGCTAACTCTCCTGAGAAAAAGGCCCCTTTCTCCCTAAATCGGAAGAAAGAGGCTTCGAGAAAATTGAAATTAAAGTTATAATTATCTATATGTAAATCAGACCATGAATACGCAAACAAAATCACAACGTCACCCTGTATAATCGGGCTTTAATCGAAATA